GTTTGCTGGGTCAACCCTATGAGATTTTCACTTCATGAGGACAGTGAGCTCTTGTTTCGTCTTGGTTCTCTGGCATACACGGCACAGACAGGGCTTCCTTCTGGTGAATTTTCAAATGTCTACTGAGACTTGACTGCTGGGCGTAAGATTTCCCACACTCACTACACGAAAAGGATTTCTTCCTTGTGTGAAATCTCTGACGTGGAATGAGGAACGACTTCTGATTGAACTGGGTACCAAATTCACTGCCCAGAGATGGTTTCTCTCCGGTGTGAGTTCGCTGATGGAGCGTGAGATACACCTTGGTGCTGAAGCCCTTGGTACAGTGACCACACACGTAGGGTTTCTCTCCAGTGTGAGTTCGCTGATGAGCAGTGAGATTTACCTTCTGACTGAAAGTTTTCCCACACTCTGCGCACGAGTAGGGCTTCTCTCCAGTATGTGTTCGCTTGTGAATGATGAGATATCCCTTCTGACTGAAGCCTTTCCCACACTCAGGGCACAAATGGGGCTTCTCCCCAGTATGTGTCCGCTGGTGAATGGTAAGCGATGCCTTCTGGATGAATCCTTTACCACATTCACCACATTTATAGGGCTTCTCTCCTGTATGAGTTCTCTGATGCAGAGTGAGCTCATTCTTCCTGATGAAGCCTTTCCCACATTCCCTGCATATATGGGGTTTGTTTCCAGTATGAGTTTGCTGATGCACAGTGAACCTTGTCTTATGGATGAAGCCTTTACCACATATGCCACATTTATAAGGCTCCTCCCCTGTGTGAATACGTTGATGGAGAGTGAGGACATCCTTCATCAGAAAGCCTTTTCCACATTTCCTGCACACATAGGGTTTATCCCCAGCATGAGCTTGCTGGTGTCTACTGAGGTTTCTTCTCTGCATGAAGCCTTTACCACACTCACTGCATTTATAGGGTCTCTCTCCAGTGTGGGTTCGCTGGTGTATTTTTAGTACCGAGTTACGGATGAAGCCTTTCCCACAGTCTTGGCATTTATAGGGTTTGTCTCCAGTGTGTGTCCACTGGTGGGTAATGAGCACTGTCTTCTGCATGAAGCTCTTACCACATTCACAACATTTGTAGGGTTTCTCCCCAGTGTGAGATCGCTGATGGACAGTGAGCTGACCCTTCCTGATGAAGCCTTTCCCACACTCCCTGCATACATAGGGGTTCTCCCCAGTATGAGTCTGCTGATGATAAGCGAGAGATGCCTTCCAGGGGAAGCCTTTCCCACAGTCAGTACATACATGAAATTTCTTTACTTTGTGACTTTTCTGATGCCTACGGAGTTGGGCCTCAGCACTCTGGGATTTCTGATTTTCAGAGAACGTCATTTCACCACAAACTTGGTCACAGTCACCATGGAACAAGCCTTTCTCAGCAGAGTTCCTGATCTGATTGCTTCTTTTTGGCTGGACTGCTGGTAACATTAAATTCAACTTCACAATTTCTTCATTTAACTCCAACACAATATGGTTTTCCAAGAAATGAAAACCCATTTTGTGCTGATCAGGATTTTCCAAAGCATCAATATTACTGCAGTGTTCCAATCTCTCTAGTCCTCTGTCTTTATGTGCGAGCCTAAGCAGACGATTGCCAGATTTCTGCACTTCTAGGAAAGAAGAGAATAAAGAATCTTTGCATCATGTTCTTTGGAATGAAGTCAGTAAAAAAAAAAACACAAAAAAACACCAACAAAACCCAACAAAAAAAGGTATTGGTATACTTCATATTTTTAATGAGAACATTTGGATGTGGGTGTAAATGAAACATCACATTGTTACTTTCACACTGATGCATATACAAAATAAGCAACGCAAAGAGTAAAAGCACTTAGTACAGGAATAAGGAGAGAGGTATGGGGCTGCTGTCTGGAGGGTGATGCTCTGCTCACCCAATGATGACATCTGAAGTCACGAGCTGCTCCGAGGTCGATGAGCAATCTTCTCCAGTGTGACTCACAACCCCAGACATGCACTGCAGGTTCAGCTCTGAGTCAATTCCAACTCGATGCCATTGAGGTGAGGTCAGGAGGAGTTAGAGAGAGTGTCTCATAAATAAATGCAAATTTGTCTGTTTCTAAAATACAACTGCACCCACTGCCATGGAGTTGGAAGTGACTCAGCATCGACCCTCCAGCGTGTTCCAGAGGCTGTAAATGACAGGGGAGGAGACTGTCCATTTTCCTCCTGTGGAGAAGCTGGTGCCCTGAATCGCCTGCCTAGGATTCTGAGCACAACTCCTTCCTCCACTAGGCTGCCAGAGCTCCCCTGAGAGATTGTAAAACAGGACGTGAAATTATGAGAAAGGTTATGTGGTCTCCCAATCTCTACTTGTTAAGAAAAAAGATTTTACTCCATAAACTCTTACTGAAAGACAAGAGTTTACAAGGCATGTCTTCTATGAAAGGGACCACTAAGAAAGACTTAGAAGGACAAATGAGAAATTGGAAATCAGAACCCTTTCTTTTAAAAAAAATATTTTTAATTTTATTATTTTTTGGGGTGTGTACCATCAAATCAGATCTGACTGGTACAGGAGAAGATTGTCCCTCTTTCTCCAGGAGAGCATCTGGTGGATTCAAACCGTGTACCACTGGGTTTGAAGTGCAGCTTCTTGCCACTAGGCCACCAGAGCTCCCCAGAACCTGTTTTATTTTTATAATGCAAACAAATGGATTTTAGGAAAAATACTTTGCAAAGCCAAGTGTAGACAGTTAAGGCAACGCTACTCTTTGGAAAAGCAGAACCTTTAGAGATCCTCAGAGTCGGAGGTAGAGAAGCTGAGGAAGGAGGTGACAGCACAGGGAGAGACCACTTTGTTACAGGGTAAAACAGCCAGTGAGGTTTGCAATGTCCAACCAGAACTCACTGCACTGAAGGCGGTTCTGACTTAGGGGACCCTCATTAGTTTTCTCAAGATGCAAAGCTTCATGGACAACTCATCTTTCTTCTGTGGAGCAGCTAGAGGGTTTGAACTGCTGATTTTGGGGTTGGCAGGTGATGGTTTAATAGACTAACTCAACTGGGCTCCTTGGTGTGCATGCAAGGAAGGAAACCTGTGCGCCTTGAGAGTGGAAGAAAGTGCTGCACTCTGAGGACAGGCAGCAATCTCAATACTGAGAGAGACCTATTAGGTGGAAAATTTTTTGTTTCTTTCAATCATTGATTTTTAAAACAAATTCTTTTCCTCTTATTTATTCATTGTTGCATAGAAGGTAGAATTTAAGATTAATGTTGATGGAAGGATAAGAAGGAGGGAAAGATCTTAGAGAAAAAGAAAATGATAGGTCTAAAAATATAGAATAAATAGTTATGATTTTTGAAGAATGGGATTGTTGTTTTGTTTTTACGTGCCATTTAGTCACCTGCAATCCACAGCAACCCTATGTACAGCAGCTCTGAACTCTGTTCTGTCCTGAGCCAGTCTCACTAATTCTGATACACCAACCCCCATTGCCCCCGTTACTCTACCAAAGCATCTCATCCAGCATCTTACTCTCCTATGCTGTCTTTCCACCCTGCCAAGAATGATGTCCTCCTTCAAGGACCAGCCTTTCCTGGCCATGTGCCCAAAGTATTTGAGACAGAGTTTCAAAATCCTAGTCCCCAAGAGAGACTTGGTTTTCACCTTCTCCAAGAGAGACCCATTTGTTTTCTTCGTGGTCCGTGGTACGTTCAAGAATCTTCTCCAACACCACAACTCGAAGTCACTGATTCTTCTGTCATCCTTAATCATTGTCCAGATCCCTGAATCATAGTAATTGCAAAGACCACAGCCTGGATTAGGCACACCATACTCTCTAGAATGACATCATTGCTTTTCAGCAGTCTAAGAGAGGTCCCTGACAGCAGGTCTTCCCAATGCAATTCGTCCTTTGATTTCCTGACTGCTGGTGCCAAGAGTGTTGACTGTGGAGCTGAGCAAGCTGAAATTGATAACAACCTCAGTCTCTTCACCATCTATCATGGTGCTGCCAAATGGCCCAGCGGTGACAATCTTTGTCTTCTTGATGTTGAGCTCCAGTCCGTATTGAAGACTACAGTCTGTGGTCTTCTGTAGCAAGTGCTTCATGCCTTCTTCAGTTTGAGCTAGCAAGGTTATGTCATCTGCATAACAGGTTATTGATGAGTCTTCCTCGGTTACTGATGAGTCTTCCTCTACCCTTGAATGGGATTATGTATCTCTTTTAACTCTTAGAAAATGGTTTCACATAGGAAGAGGAATAAGAGGAGGTAACTTGATTGATTCTCAGACACCCTCACATATGCGATGCCCTCTTCTACATAATATTTCAAAGAAAAATTTGAAAAAGTTCAAAGGTTCAAAGTAAAAGAGGTGTTTTCTGTTAGAAATAGAGAGAGAAGATTCACACTTAAACAGTGCCAGGAGCAAACTGAGAACCTGTGCCTTCAGAGCCCCACAGATAATCCAAAGACTTCAGCAGCTAGGAGAGGGAAGGCCAATGCCAGGAGAGTTGTACTCACCAATGGATCCCAGGTTTCTGTAGTTCTCCAACATCACATCCCGGTACAGGGCCTTCTGAGCAGGGTCCAGAAGCTCCCATTCTTCCCAAGTGAACTTCACAGCCACATCACTGAATGTCAGTGCTTCCTGTCAGAATAAGAGGATATTGTTTAAGGAAACTACTTTCACGAACACCCACGTTTATTACAACTTTGTTCACAATAGCAAGGAGTTGGAAACAACCTACGTGCCCAAGAACAAACAAGTGGATAGAGAAGCTCTGGTATATACAATGGAATACTATGCTGCATTGAATAACAAGGAACTCATGAAATATTATGCAAAATGGGTGACCCTGGAGGACATTATGTTGAGTGAAATATCTTAGTCACAAAAGGACAAATGTTGCACAGTGCCACTGTTGTAAAACAGGACTGACATCAGGATTTGGGGGGAGACTGAGAAAGATTGGCTAAATTATGTATACTGAATTGAAACAGATAAGGGAGAGAACTGATTAAAAGCGATATATGATTAGGTATTATTATCATACAAGAGTCCAGAATGAAGGCTGCATAGTGGAGTGGACTGGGGTGGTGGGAGAAGGAAGGGAAATGAGTTTTTCTTTTACTTTTCAAAGAGAAGAAAGAGTGCATTGGGGGGGCGGGGAGGGGAGAGGGATGGGCAGGGAGAAAAATGCAACAATGAATGTATGGAAATCCAAAATCTCTGTAAACGTTCATTAATATTAATTTAAAAAAAAAAGAAAAATAAAGGTTGGTTTGTTTTGTTTTTAAAAAAAGCAATAAAAGAAAGGCTTACCAGACTTTTTTTTTAAGTGTTTTTCTGTTGTCACTTAAATGTGCTACTAGACTCTTTTCAGATTGGGGACCTCAACCCTCTGCATGGGCCCCTTCCAGGCTTGCTGCTGTGAAGTCTGCAGCATGGCCCCATTAGAGAACACCTGGTGTCACACCTCCCGGCATCACAACTCCTGTAGAATGTTCCCTGCCTCCCTTCCCTCTACTGCCGTCTTGCTTCTTTTCTCACATCTCCCGTTCACTAACCTGACTGGAGCTGGATGTTACATGGACAAGTTCCTCTTCCATTTTATCTTTTTTAAAAATTGTGACTTTAATGAAAGTTTACAGAAAAGTTAGATATTCATTCATTCTTTGTTGCACATTTTCTTCCCTAGCCTCCACCACCACACACCTCTCCCCTGCCCCATTCCCCGGGCAGTTTTCACTATTTTTTAAAAAATATTCAATCAATGCTATCCTCCTCAATGTTAAAGCACAATGCTAAATCAAACCATTTCCTCCTGGTAGGCCTCAAAACATGTCATTTGCCTGTCAGGCATGGCTCGTCTAAGGTCTCTGCAACATGCACAGGAGTTACAGGCCAGCCCACAGCCGAGTCCCAGGTGGTTGTTGTTGTATATTGCTGTTGTTGTTAAGTGCCGTGGAGTCATAGGTGACTCACAGCGACCCTAAGAATGAAAGTCCTTGATTTCACACTTCCGCCTCCCGCTAACGGGAAAGCTGAGACATGTTGAGTCATTGGGCACTGAGGCTCCTACGATGTGAAGGCTGCGGTGGGGGGGGGGGCTCGCCTTTCTGACCCCTGCAGGCGTTTCTCGCTGGCCGTGCGGAGAGATTTCTTCACTACCACAGCCAAGGAAGGATATGATGTCAGGATTTGACAAAACACAAGCAGAAACAATTGTGTCAGCCTTAAGTAAGCAGTTTATCAAATGTTTGCCTGGATACAATCTATAAGGAAATGGTCACTCAAGCTCAACAGGAAATAACAGTCCAACAACTAATGGCACATTTGGACTCCATTAGGAATGACATGCTCATCCTTGAGAAAAGTGAATTTGCAAATCGGAGAGCAGAGAATGAGAAAAGGAAAATGGAATTAGACCAGGTTAAACAACAATTGATAAATGAAACTAGTCGTATCAGAGCAGATGATAAACTAGACATCAACCTGGAAAGGAGCAGAGTAATAGATATATTTACAGATCAGGAAAAGAAACTTACGGAAGTGACTACAGAATTTATCAAAAAGGATAGCCGAACCAGAAGTGTTATTTCAGAGACCAGTAATAAAATTGACACTGAAATTGCTTCTTTAAAAACACTGATGGAGTCCAACAAACTTGAAACAATTTGTTATCTTGCAGCCTCAGTATTTACTTGTCTCGCAATAGCCTTGGGACTTTATAGATTCTGGAAATAACAACACAATGACTACAGTCCTGCTTCTGCTGCTTAGAGAACTACATCACGGTCATTGCTATTGTCAGCGGCCACTGCTGGTTACAGCAACAACTTAATAGAACAAGATTATCAAAGCACTAAATGGACTAAAAACAACTGTTTATTCATAGAATAGTGAATTCTCTTCATTTTGTGATGACATGCTGCTGTTCAAAACTTGATCGACAAAAGAGTATTTTGTCTTTTTATAGTTTATAAAAGCTAACCAAAGTTTTCTTGTATTTGCCTAACTGCAAAACTGTAAATCACATGAGATTTCTTTGGTATGTGTACAGATTTGTAAACTATTCCTAAACCTACAAATTGCATATTGTCAGCTTACCTGATAACTATTATGTTTTCATATAAAATAAAAGCTCATTTAAACAGTGGAAAAAAAAAAGAATGAAAGTCCTCAATATCTGTGTGAGTTTCATCCTTTCTCCAGGTTCATAGAGTTTCCGGAGGCAAGCTATTTCGGAAGTGGATGCCACTCCTGCTTCCAAGCCTGTTTTAATCGGGGAGCTCCACCAAACACTGGCCACCATGGGTAACCCTTATTACATTTGACACATCAGTGTCACAGTGTTCAGCTTCACCGCAACCACGTATGGACACATTTGCCCCAGGTAGAAAATATAAAACCAAATTCTCTCCTACGTCTCTGAGAAATGTAAACCTACCCACAGGAATGTTAGAAACAGCCTTGGGATTCTTCTTCCTTCAATGTGAAGTGTGAAGGCATCAGATACTATTTTTACAGAAACTAAACTCACCTTATGACAAAACATTAAGCTTAAACTTAAACAGAGTTTAAGACAGGTTTGGAAGCAGGAGTGGCATTCACTTCCTAAACAACAGGTGTCCAGAAACTCTATGAACTTTGATAAAGGTCGATAGTTACACAGCGGCTTCAAGCCTTTTGTTTATGGGGTCGCTATGAGTTGTGCTTAACTTGAAGGCAAGCAACATCAACAACAACAACAACAAACTAAACTTGTTCCATCAATCTCTAGTTATAAATTACATTCAGTGTCCTTAGTTTAGCATTAATCCTATTAATGGTATCTCTCTGATACACTCTTGGCTGGTGTTCAGTCTGTATCCTCACCCATTCACTCTGCCGTCCAGCTGGAACCAAGTCACAACTGACTCTCCGTCAGGTTCTCAGAGGCTTACATGACTGGGGAGGAGACTGCTCTTCTGCCTGCCTATTGGTTGGAAGCACAACACTTCACCACTGAGGTTTCTTTCTCTCTACCTTCTACTTCCCCAACTATGGAGATGAACGCACTTCACCAGGTTCACCTCACCACTCCATGAGGAACGAAAGGAAAACAGAAAACACAGCAGAAGTCACAATACACATGAATGACAGAAAATGTAAATGACTATATAAAAAACACAATGTGTGGGAGTGATAATTTTTGTTTTTTTTAAAGAAACAAAAGTCACCTTAGCCTTGACCATCTTGACCAGCACTTGGGATGCACTGTCATTGTCTTTGTGCTAAGTCCCATTCAGAAATCTCAAGTCTCTTGTGGATGGTGTCCCTAAGAGAGAGAATACACAAATCTTGCAATCTCATTGTTAAAAAACATTGAGGGCAGGGAGCTCTGGTGGCCCAGTGGTAAGAAGCTACACTGCAATCCCAGAAGTACGTGGTTTGAATCCACCAGATGCTCTGCTGGAGTAGGACAGGCAACCTCCTTCTGTACCAGTCAGATCTGATTTGACGGTACCCACACACAAACACACCTCCCCCACCATTGAGGGCACCATGATGGTCAAGTCAGACCTCTACACACAAGACCATGCCCCCCCTCATCCTATTTTCTAATTCCAACAACAATCCTACTGTTATAACTGGTCTGAAATCCACTGCAACAGTTACACAGACCTCAAAGAAACATACTCATGATTATGGGGTCTACTAGGAAAGTTAACAGAACACAACTCAGGTTGGAAACAGGATGCAATTTCCTGGTCAGGACAGCTTTTGACGTGTGCTGACAATCCTTCCATCCTTCAGCCCAGTGGCTTTGGCACAGTGTTACAAAGCTCTCATTCCTCCAGCACGCCTGGGCAAACGTCCACAGCTCTGTTTCCACGGGGACAGCAATCCCTGGTCAGCTGTCTCACATCAGGTCTCTGCTGTGGATGATCTGCTGTAAATGTGGTTGGTGTAAGAATGTCTTCCCCTGTATGATGTGTACTCACACATTCTGAGTCTCCTTTGTCGGTAGTGAAATTCCCAAATTACTACCACCTAACCTGGCATCCACTTCCGTGACAGCTTGCCTCCGGAAACCCTATGAACCTGGAGAGAGGACGAGAGACACCCAAGTGTTGAGGACTCTTCTTCATAGGGTCGCTATGAGTCACTTGTGACTCGACAGCACTTAACAATAAACAACATAAGCAAGTGGTAAACGCAGGGCAATGTACCAGGAAAACCACTTGGTAAAAATAAGCCCACTATACTGAAGGTCACTGTCATGTCAGAACCCTTGAAAGTTGGCTTTTCTAGCCACTGCTTTAGCCTGCTTTAGAAGCATGGTCTCGGGGAGCTCTGGTGGCCTAGTGGCAAGGAGCTGCAACTACAATCCCAGAGGCGCACGGTTCGAATCCACCAGATGCTCTGCCGGGGAAGGAGAGACAATCTCCTCCCATACCAGTCAGATCTGATTTGACGGTACACGCACACACAAAAAATAATAAT